AAAAATAATATAAATAAAATTGACTTTAGTACAGAGTAGGATGTGAGATACACTTTCAGCAAATGAAACAGGCAGYTATTATGTACACATCTCTTGTTCAACATGCAGAAGAAAATAAAGGTGAAAAGCAACTAGATAAGAGATTCCATGAATTTCATTTCATCTTTTATTTTGCATTATTAAGTTCGCGTTAATTTAGAAAATATTATAAATAAACTTCACTCTAGTTATCGAGGTCACTGAGCTGGTTAAGCTTCTTGTAAGTTCCAGACTATTTTGGTGAGATAAATAAATTAGTTTTATCAGCCTGTAGCAGATTTTTGGCTKAGAAGCCACGGTATCAGATGTCTGTATAACGATACTAAACGCTATTAATAACACTAATTATATGGACGCCAGGAATTACCACATCAAGGTCGGTCACTTGAACTTTGATATCGATTGTTCAGGATAAAGAAATTTTAAAAATTGCAACGCATWATCACTGCAAACCCCAGAAAACTATCGTTTGAAAATGGAAGATTTAATCTAGAGAACAAATCGAACGTTTGCCTGATCAATTACTACGATTATGTAAATATCAAACAAAATATTGTCGTAGCATGTGGTAAAGCGTTTCCTAACGTACAACCTGTGGATTGCTGATAGAATTATAGGAAAAACTCTTGGAGATTCTCAAATCTAACGATTAGACTGCATGCACAGCAAAGGATTTCCGGTGGAAAATAAACAAGTAATCGATAAACGTCCGCGTGCGTGCTAGATGCAAATGTTATATTATAACAACGCATCTAAAATAATTTTTTCAAGGGCCGTCTGAAATGGATCTTCATGAGTTTAGTCATGTGTCTAATATAAGCTATAGTTTACAGAGCAATTCGCGATAACATCGACGATTGCCATAAAGATTTCATGAAATCGCACGCGACCGAGAATGTACAGATGAAATTGACAACAAAGAGACAGAGACTAAAGCTACAATAAGCCCGTTTTTGAGATCACAAATCCTTAGCACATTGGTGCTGATTGCTTTAAGTATGACATAGAAAAATTCTATAGAAAGGGCGGTCAGCATATTGTACTTTGAGAGAGAAAAACAATCAACAAAGTGGGCTTGGCAATGCCACTTAATTATGAATGACAGTGGAGCAACATTACAGTAATGAATTCATAGTAGTAAAAATCAAGATCTTACCTGCTAGAGTTAGAGGTGTTTTGGCTAAACTATCCGAGGATTCCCCAGCACTATGTATATGTAGCAGTTTTTCGACGTCGGCTTGAATTGCACGAGTGAAGCGAGTGCTAGATGTCGAGATATTTAGATTGTTCGTTTCTCCGTGTTGATGGGGGCTTGGAATATTCATTCGTAATAAGGTCAAGCGCTGTTTCACTTCTAAAAGTTCACTTTCGACTACTTTAAAATGGGTTTCTTTAGTCCGTAACTTATTGCTTAAATCCTCTATACTTTGCTGACTTTCTTTTCTCTCGAGATCCCAACTTTCTTTCTCTGAAAGAAGTTTTTTTATTTTTATGTCACTAGCGGTCATCTGTTGCTCGTAATTTCTAATAAATTCTCTCAGTTCCGATTCCTTGTCTTCAAGAATACCATACACTTGCTTCATTTGGTTTAAGAGTTCCATCTTTTCAGTTTTAAGCTTTTTTCTGTCTGTCTTCATAAAAACAATTGTTTCTTTAGCTCGGCTGATTTCATGTTCATAACAATGTAGCCGCTCGTACAGCTCCGCTACGTTTGAATTTGATTCTTTAAATTCATTTAACTCTCGCGATAAAAATTCAATTTCTTTACGTAATCTTGCATTTTCTTCATTTAGCTTTTCGGGAATTTTATCTGTGGCTTGGCTTTCTTGTGAACTATCGCTCATACTTCGTTCTACAGTGCGCCCTTCAGTGTTGGTTGAAGCCTCGGCTTTCTCCGATGTTAGCTCGCCCAGTCTTCGGTCCTGATCTCGTAATTCGGCCTTCAAATGCTCAACCTCTCTATTAACAGAGTTCAATGAATTGTTTATCTTGGCAGCAATAACATATTTCTCTTCTTTTAGCTGCTTGCTCTCGGATTCTGCCTGCTCCATAAGTCTTCGCATAACCGTCAGGCACGCGAAKAGATCGTCGTGTTTACGGACTAGCCTTCCAGAACAAATTTCACTTTTCTCTTGTTCGGGGGCAGCCGAGTGAATAAAGGTACCTGCTTGAGGCTTGTCGGTTTTTTGTAAGGACTCTTCAGCGCCATCCCGAGAACTGTCAGTTTTGATTTTTTCATACACACCCGGTTGTACGATGTCCGCCATTATTCTGGTGAATCCTCTGCTTCCACAGAATTCATTTCCAGACAGAATCTGACGCGAGCCTCAGTTTCGTGCGTTAAACAGGAAGTTATTCTGCATCATGACTTCCGGTTATAAATRGTTTTTACGCACTCTTTGAACGGATTTTGATAAGTTCTTGAKGTATCCATAGTAAAACCGGTTCTCTTGACATTAGACGTGCTTCAGGATAGTCCATTGTTTTATGCCTCAGGGCTTGGGATCAAGGTCAAGTATTAGATCTAGACGGATCTATTATAGCCTCCCCACAGGAAGCCTGACATCCTATGTSGAATATACTTTAGTTTCTTTTATTTGGGCTTCACGTCAATTTTCAACAATATAATATTGATATCTGCATATATAATTACACATCACAATGTTGCCTGTCTGACGTATTGGGTCAACTCGATTAGCATCTATTAAAATGCTATTGACCCATTCTTGCTAGCAACTAATTTTGTTCTAATCAGGCATTTGTTCCTTTATTTCAAATGATTTTTCAGTTGGATTTGGCAATTAATTATTCATCAGGATATCTCGAAGAGTTGGTTGGTCGTGTTCGTGGCCCGGGGGGGGGGGGGGGGGGGGGGGGGTACTCCCATATATTTGCTATACGGGGACGTGCCGCTGGCCAGGGTATGGTTTTTGGCCTTGCTGTCTTAAACAGGGTATACATTTCACCCGAAATTGTCTTAAACAGGCTCTACAATTTAGATAAAAGAGACCGATATAATTTTTTTGTGTGTCTTGGACAGGGTAATATTTTCATAACACCGTAGAAATACCGTTTCACTGTCCCAGAATTAACGTGTTATCAAAAACTTCTTATTGTCTTTGATGGATGTCAGTATAATTGCAGTTTTGATGGTTGCGGCGTAGATAGCTATTCCTTATTTTTCCGATTTGTCTTGAACAGGGTATGGATTTTTACTTTTTAGTGTCTTGAACAGGGTCAGGGATTTAGACCGCTGGCGGCACGTACCTATCCAAAACGTGGTCGAGTACCCCCCCCCGGGGTTCGTGGTAACTCCGTGTTGGGATTCCTGTCCTACGTGCATGAGCCCCAAATGATTGAGCAGCAGCTGCGAAATCACTATGAGCATGCGTTTGCCTGCAAATGGCGGGATGAAGCCATGCTTTCAACAAAAATAATAGACTAAATGTAACAAATTCGGTGTTTGCTAAATTCTTTTCTGAAAAGACAGGTACTCAACTACAGAAACATAACCGATGATTTGAACTAGTCTTTGTAGAAGAAGCTTGGTAAAATGCAACGATTACTGGCCCCAAACTCCACATCAAGTCTTCAATCATACGCGAATTCAACTATTGAGTGTCTCGAGAGATCAGATGTTGCAGACGATAGCKGTACACTGATTTCAGGATCAACATTTGCTAATGGAAATCTTGCATGGCTTGCAAGGGGATCAGCCCTTGAAGTAGTCGACACAAAGACAGGTCAGCGAACTGCAGCATGGAGGTTTGGTTGGAGTTTCAAGGAGAAACATGCCGTTACAATCACGTCCGTGGTTGCTTTTCCGATGGGACTGATGCATCGCTTGTTAGTTGGTTTAAAGGATTTGTCTGGTAGTTTACCTGGTATGGTTTGTTTGTTTGATCCTAGTGTATCGCGTGTTATCAAGGCAGTTGTCATTCCTTACCCTGTGACAAGTCTTGAAAGTGTTACGGCAGATGGCGGCGCTGATGCGGCTCCTTCGTTGTTAAGGTAAATAACTTTGTTTTCCTTTCTTGGTGTGTTAGTTGACCATGGGTTAATTTATTCATGTTATCCTATTCATAAAGCTGGATCAAAAGGGTTGTCCACTACWGTTAGAACAAAGAAAAAATGAYAAAGAGAGACAGGCAATACAAAAACGAAAAGGAGAACAATAGGCATTGTCTGATGTAATCCTATGTCARATTATTTGTCTTTGTTGATCAATCACAAGGTTCATTCTGATGGTAGTGGTCCACCTGACCAAAAAGTGGCAATGTTC